CTCTTAACAACTTATCAAAACCTTTATTAATCCCTTATTCACCTTTATTTACATAATGGTCTTTTGGTTAAAAATAAATTGCGAACTCTTTTGATTTCTGTCCCCTCAGAAAGACAAATGCCCCCCTCCTTATTTTTCATTTCTCAAAACTTTCACCAAGAACCATAAAGAAAAGAGACATAAGAGATAAGTTTTAAATAGACTACTAACCGCCCAACCAACCCTTATAAAAAGAAAATTAATAATAAAAGAAAGGGCAAAAATGGGACTTAATGGATATATTTACTTATAAAATAAGTAAAGGGCGAAAAGAGAGTAAAAAAGGCGACACAATTCACCCCTCGCCTCCGTTCGGAACTAAAATAAATATATAGGTTCGTAATCCCCTATATGTAGTTCTCATTATTAAGAGGTCGGTAAGTTAAGTAGATAGTTTTTTGAACTATTCTCTTGGTGATACTCGGCACTAATCTATTCCAAAGAAATTAATTTACAATGATTTTGGTCAATTAGGTTCCGGTGCCGTCATTATTGCCCTAGTTTGGTAATTCAAACTAGTTAGTTGTTGGTGATGTTTCAACCGAAACAGCAACTTGACTTCCGTATTTGTCTCCAACTGGTCTAGTTTTTTGTTCTAGGCTGGTTGTGGGATAAACGAGATTAATTTCCCAAAAAAAGAAATAAAAAATTCCTTATTTCCTTTGTTCGAAAATTAATTTTGCTTGAAAATCGACTCTTTTCTTGCCAAAAAATGCCAATATTCTCCTCTCTTTCTGAAAATAGATTAAAAAAGTTAAAAAAATCCCTCCTCTCTTTTTAGTAAACTTCGATTTTCTTTTATTTTTTTGTCAAGAATTAGTATTTGAGACTATTTCTTGGTTAATTTGCCGTTTAACCATTTTCTTATTCGTTCAAAGCAGCCTGGTAGGCTACTAGGTAGGTTAAACGGCTATTTTCCAATAACCTATTGACCTACCAAACCGCTTTCAACGAATAAGTGAATATATCAATAATTTTAGGGAAGTGTTGGACTTCCCTGTATTTTTTATTTTTCTATTCTTTAAAAAGCAAAGCAGGAGTAATGCTGTCTAAATGAACTTCATAGTATATACCGAGGCAGTGATAGTCATTACTTATTTCAGGTTTTATATAGCAAGGCACTAGCATTCCTCATTTAGCGACCATAATAAGTTTAACTCCATTTTCTAGATTAGCACAAATTATATCACCCACTAAATTTTTTAAGAAATCATTAGTGTCGTTTTGCTTAATAAATCTATATGTTTCAGGTTCAGCAATTATTAAAATATCTTTTTCACTTCCACAAAAAATGCTATTTTCTGCTCGGTTGTTGTGCATTTTTTCAGTTAAATCTTTGTTTCTTCCGTGAACGAGAAAGTAAATAAATTTATGTAAATTGTCGAAAAATGTGTTAGGATCTTTACTTTTTAATTCCTTATTAAAGGATTTTAAGCAATTAGGATTATAATTTTCTTCTTTGCATATTTCCTTTGTTATGTAGTAATTATCTAAATTTTGGGCAAATTTTTCTATTAAAATTTCTTCGGTTTTTTCTATGACTTGGTTGACTTCTTTAATTTCTTGAAAAATTTTTGTTTCTGCATAGGAACAGTCATCAGGACTATCGGGGTTGATAAGAAAAATCTCTCGCTTTTCTGCTAACCATACGAATTTAATTCGTGGTGTCTTGGTAGAAGCAGATCGTTTGACAAGGGGAGGGAATGCAAATATTGCTATTGCTGAATTATTCTTTTCACCAATAAATACAGGTCAAGGTAAATTTGCTAAAAAACGGGATTTATTCACTAAAATTTTTTCTAGTCTTTCTTTTTTTATTATTAAATTAGAATTATCATTCATATATATTATTTTAATACTTTCTTTTAACTAATACGGAAATAAACTTTTTATTTTTTTGGTACAGCATCAGTTTTGTCTAGTAATCCACTATAAAGATAAGCCCGAAACCGGTTTTTTTTTGAACTACTAACTAATCTAAGAAAATCATCAGGATGTTTTTCTCTTCACTCTTTTAAACAAGCACGACAAAGTATTTCATAGCCTTTCCACGGCTTTCCATCAGTTCAAAAACCCACTTCGTTTAATTGGCTTCAATTTTTTTGCGGTGCCACATATTTGCGAATGAATTGGTGAGAACATTTATCACATTTTTCTATTTTTTCCATATTATTAGAGACTAATCAAGCAGTTTCGTTCGTATTAGTTATATATCTATTTTAGCAACTAACAATTTTTATTCACCAAAGGTTTTTCTTATGGTTCATGCTACCCCTATCCAAAGAAAAATAATGAAAATAAATCCTAATAGTAAGGACAAAAATATGCTTATTCCTCATCCATGATGGAAATAGTTAATCACTCCTACTCCGCTAATTATAAGTAAGGTTGCTTTTAAGTTTATTTCTTTATTGTTTGACTCTTTTGGTTTCTGATGGGATGCTTTCTTTTATTAGGAGGCAAGACACTTTCCTCCCAGACATTCCAAAACTTCTATTTTTAAATAACTTCCTGCTTTGCGGATGCTTCTGAATTAAGAAACAAAACTCAGCATTACTTCTTAATCAACTTCCCAAACCTAAAAAAATTTTTCTTATGCCACACCAAGCAATCCACTATTTTCAAATTAGGAGTTTTTAAAAGTCATAAAGGAATGCGGTCATTTCCTAACAGAGTTTTATTGACTCATAGAAGACAAAAAGCACTAGGTCTTAATAATTGCTCAATTTGCTCTAATATCCTTAATACTTGATAATCACTTTGGAAATATAAGGGATAGTTAGTTGGTAAAACATTCCTCACTAGTTCATACAATGAACTAGATTACCACCACAGTTAGCACAAATCATATCTTATAAATAAACAGCACCTAAAACATTAGTTATTTTTATTATGCTAAACACTCTAACCATAATGGATATTTTATGAAAAAGTGTTTACAAAATTTAGATGGTTTAGTAAAAATGATTTATATGCCAAATAACATAAACGTAAACGCCCAAACATGACTAGACGAGAAATATCCAATAGATGGAGTATGCAAAAGAGATAATGACTTAGAGAACAAAGGTAAAACAAGAAAAGGAATAATTTTATTAGATATTCGCAAGGGTAAGGTTGGAAATAGTTTTTTTAGCAAAAATAAGAATTTAACCGAAGACTTAAAGCTAGTAGGGTTTACTAATTTACGAAAATTAATAATTTCTTCTCATCAAATAACTAATTTAAATCTTAGTAATTGTCCTAAATTGGAAGAAGTAGATTGTCATGGTAATGAACTTACTAGTTTAAACGTAACTCATTGCTCAAATCTTAAAAAGATTGATTGCTCAAATAATAACCTGGAAGAATTAGATCTTAGCACTTGCACTAAGTTAGAAGAAGTAGATATAAATAATTGCTCAAATCTTATTCAAAAAGCAATAAATTCTAATCTTAATTATGATGTTGAGAATGGTAAGTTAGTTAAGGATTCAGCAAAAAAAAGTAGTCCCAAAATAATAAAAGCTAAAGAAAACGACACCAGAAATATCTTAATAGTGGGCATCACTGGTAATGGTAAATCAGCTTTAGCTAATGCTTTATCCAGTTCTGTTACTAATGAGTTTGGAGAAAAGAATACGAGCACTAGTGTAACTAAAAGTTTTCAAGAAAGTGATATTTTTCCATGAGAAGGAAAGAATTACCGCATAATTGACAACATTGGTTTTGGAGATACTAATAACATTAATGAAACAGACATTTTGTTCAAAATTGGCGAAGGAATTCACTCGGCTAAGGAAGGAATTAATCAAGTTCTTTTTGTTTTTAAAGGAAGGCTTTCTCCGGAACATATAGTAGCTTTTAACGTGTTTAAAGATTTTATTGCGGAAACTGGTATTACTAAGTTTACTACTCTAGTTCGCACTAATTTTGTCGACTTCCGAAATCAAAAAAAATGTCAAGAAGACAAGGAATCTTTACTTGCTCAAAGCAAAAAAGTTAGTGAGATAATTAATTCTTGCAATGGCATTATTTATGTTGACAACCCCTCAACTATAATTGAAGAAGATAGTGAGGATAGTGAAGATGAAAGAGAAGAGAAGAAAAAAGAAGCTAGTCGCAATGAAGGAAAAAGAAAAGAATCCAAGGAAAGAATTCTCAACCATCTAGCAGAAAACTGTCCAGAAATTTATAAATTAAAAGAATGAGATGGCATAGTTTTGATGGTGAACAAATATAATGAGAAAAAAAATCAAATAGAACAAAGTGATAGTTCAACCAAAGAAAAGGAACTAAAACAAGCCAAAACCGAAGTAGCCAAAGAAATTAATCAAGGAATAAAAGTTAGTGTGGGAGCAGAAGTGCCAGGGATTGGCAGCTTTACCGCCGCTATCGAACATACTAAGCAAATAATAAATTGGTAATCATTACTTTTAAATAATAAGAACTTATGACAGAAACTAAAAAAATACTCCTTATTGGGAGATCAGGACGGGGAAAATCAACCTTAGCTAACGTAATTACTGAGGCAGAAAACAAGTTTAAAGAAAGTGGCGGAAGTGCTAGCGAAACAAGAAAAATTCAGTTTGAAGAATTTGCTGATAAAGAAAATAATATTAATTATTTAGTAATCGATACACCAGGTATTGGGGACACTAAAATGTCTGATAATGAAGTTCTTGACATAATTGCCGAAGCAGTTTATTTAGTGAGAAATGGATTAAGCCATGTCTTTTTTGTTATTGATGGTCGCTTTGATCAGTATGAGATGATTACCTATAACTTACTGAGAGAGACTATTTTTGACCAAGACATTACTAAACACACTACTATCACTCGCACTCGCTTTAAAGATTTTAAAAACAAAAAAAAGTGCCAAGCTGACATTGATTTAATGGTTAAAGAAGCCGAAGACAAAAAAAGTAAACTAAAGCAGGATATTTCAGCAAAAGAAAAAGAACTGGCAAATTTGTCTTCTGATAGCAACCAATACCAAGAGTTGCTGGAAGAAATTAAGCAATTACAAAAAGACCTAAAAGTTGTTAACTTATCAGAGATAATTGAGTCTTGTCAAAAAAAAGTTGTTTACGTCGATAATCCCCCTATAAGCATTGCTATTGCTGATAATGAGGATGAAAAAAGAAAGAGAGAAAGAGAAGAAGAATTACAGTCGAACAAAAAAAAAAGAGCCAAGTCAAGAGAAAAAGTGTTAGAACACTTAAAAAATAATTGTCAAAATGATTCTTATAAACCAGAAAAATTAACAAATTTAAGTAATGAAATTACCGAAGACATGGATAATTTACTGCGGAGTAGAAAAGAGTATGAAGAAGAAATGAAAAAGTTAAAAACCAAC